ATCGCGGACGTCACTGACATAGGGGGAAGTCGACAAGATTCAGCCTGTATGTGTGAGGTCATCACATGACGTCACTGACCGCCGAGTAAACACAGGTGAGGTGATGTCACACTTGTTTAGACCTGTAGTAAGAGAAAGTACCATGCCCCATAGGAGGAGTTCATTTGAATGCTTACCCTGAGAGGGGGAATCCAAAAACTTGATCTGAGGAGATGGAGTCTTGGTATTATCAAGAAAAAAAACTTGATCCAAGGAGATGGAGTCTTTGATTTCGAGAAAAAATTGATCCGAGGAATGGAGACTTTGTATTATCGGAAAAACTTGATCCAAGGAGATGGAGACTTTGATTTCGAGAGAAATTTGATCCGAGGAATTGGAGTCTTTGTATTATCGAGAAAAAAAATTGGGGATGCAAGTGGGAGTTCATTTTGAATGCTTATACCCAGAGGGGGAATCCAAAAAACTTGATCCGAGGAGATGGAGGAGAAATACTTGGACATAGAGGCTAGAAGTGGATGGTGGGGGAAATCTTTGTATTATTGATATCGAGAAAAACTTGATCCGAGGAGATGAAGTCTTTGTATTATCGAGAAAACCTTGATCCAAGGAATTGGAGTCTTTGTATTATCGAGAAAAAAAATTGGGATGCAAGTGGGAGTTCATTTTGAATGCTTATACCCAGAGGGGGAATCCAAAAACTCGATCCGAGGAGATGGAGTCTTGGTATTATCGAGAAAAAAAAACTTGATCCAAGGAGATCATAAGAATTTCGAAACCCCATAGGGGGGAATCCAAAAACTTGATCAGAGGAATTGGAGTCTTTGTATTATCGAGAAAACTTGATCCAAGGAGATGGAGTCTTGGTATTATCGAGAAAAACTTGATCTGAGGAGATGGAGACCTTGTATTATCGAGAAAAACTTGATCCGAGGAGATGGAGACTTTGTATTATCGAGAAAAAAAAATTCGAAAAAATTTGGGGTGGGGGTGAAAGTGGGAGGGGCAATCCAAAAAACTTGATTCGAGGAAGTGGAGAGCACAATAAAATGAAATTAAAAAAAAATTCGAAAAAAATCGGAAAAAAATTTGGGGACTGGGGGCGATCCGGACGACGCTGCAGAAGGCGCAGCAGAAGGTGCGGGTGGGCGCGAGGGGCGCGGGCAGGTGCGAGGGCGAGGGCGGGTGGGGGGGTCGGGGGCGCGGGTGGGGGGTCGTGGGTGCAGGGGTGGCGGGTCGGGGGGGCCCGGGGGTGCGGACGTGGGGGGCGCGGGGGGCGGGGGGGGGTTGGGGGGCGGGGGGGGCCCGGGCGTGGGGGCGCGGGGGGCGTGGGGGGGGGCGGGGGGCGCGGGGGGCGGGCGTGGGGGGTGCGGGGGTGGCATGGGTGGGGGTGTGGGTGGGGCATGGGTGGGGTTAAGTTCATTAGCATTAGGTGGGGAAAAAAGGTCTTAGAATATGGGTGTGAAAGAAGCCACCAGCCGCAGCCCTTTTCGGGTGAGCCATCGGAATGACCCGCTCAGGAATGAGCCACTCTGCGCAGGGCCCAGAGCCGCCTTCATCACAAATTAATAATTATAATATATATAATATAATATATAATATATATATATATATATTATTATATATTTATATCATATTAAGCAATATATGTATTATTAGCCTAATAGCCAACTTATCTAAAAACCCGAACCCCTTTAAAAAAATAGAACTTACCCCAAAAAATTTGTTAGATACCCTTTTTTCATTGAGAAGAGAAAAAAAAATTTTGTGACCAATACTAAATTAGTTTTTCCCCAAACCCTTTAAATTTATGTAAGATTTTTTTAAGTTAAATTTGCTTATACTATATCATAGTCTGTTAATTTTATTAATTTATTTAAAACAAAAACAAAAATTTTTTGCTGTTAATACTTGGATATTTTTTGAGAGAAATTTGGGTTGTAAATGCCCCCGCTCCCGGGGCTGTAACCGGCCAATTGATTTTAGCGATTTTGATAATAAAATTTTCATTGTACGTTTTACTCAAAAAAAAAAACTTACAATTTAAAAACCTAACTCGCCGGTTTGGCTTATTCGACACGACATATACGACTACCAACTCGCACTCTTATTACATAATAAAGTCATCATGGAAAAGCTGACATTTTTTTTTTCACTTGAGATTTTATTCTTCTGGTTCTTTGCCTGTAGACAGCAGGGCAGTCATTGTCATGTTATTATTTCTTATTTAACGATTCATAGCACATTTGTGCTGATGAATGACATCAGCAGTTAGTGAAAACTGGCCAGTGTATATTAAGCTCTCTAAGTGGTCAATATGTCGAGCTTTCTGGTTAATGACGAATGTGAAAATCATAAGACAAATAATAATAATAATAATAATAATAATAATAATAATAATAATAATAATAATAATAATAATAATACTGTCTTTATAAATATTCATTAATCTCCGATGTCATTAAATGTTTGTTTGCTCAATTCACTCTATTTACCGAACTTATATCTAATTTATCTTCCTAGGTTTACTCAATGGATAAACCATTCATCACCACCATCATCACCATCATTGTCACAATGCTGCAAGCTGAGATTATGTACAATGTTCACAATCTGATATCTGTTGCCTCTGCGAATCCAGTGAATCCCTTGTGGTTGGGCCAGAATTCAAGCTTCTGCATTAAAACAATGTGGATGATCATCTGCGATTACAAGTGGAGAGAAGAGGTATGTTTTGGTATAGATGGTATAAGACGTAAATCATTGAAGTGTATCCATGAAAGCTATGTCAAAGCAACAACAAAGCTCGAAGCTTTAAAGAAAGAAGAAATTAGCCATAACATACTTCGTCTTGATAAATTAGACACATGCGCAACTCTTGGGTATCTTTATTGAGGAAACGTTTCGCCACACAGTGGCTTCATCAGTCCATACAAAGGAGAATCTTGAAGAACAGGAGGAGAATGAGGTAATCAGTCCCTCAACCTTGAGTCGATGTGGTCAGTCCATCAATCTTGAATAGAATACGGCATACGTGCTGAGAAGGAGCTTATAAACCGTTGGCAGGAGAGGTGCAGCAGTCATAGGTCGTGTAACATTTGTTCAATGTTGAAGTAGGTCGTGCCCAAGAATTAGGCAAGCGAAGAATTCCCAAGTATTAAGATCCCAAGAAGTTGCAGTGTCTGACAGTTTTGTAGATGAATGGTTCAGAGAACCGACATGTTGATAAATTAGACACATGTGCAACTCTTGGGTTCTTTATTGAGAAACTTTTCGCCACACAGTGGCTTCATCAGTCCATACAAAGGAGAATCTTGAAGAACAGGAGGAGAATCAGGTAATCAGTCCCTCAACCTTGAGTCGATGTGGTCAGTCCATCAATCTTGAATAGAATACGGCATACGTGCTGAGAAGGAGCTTATAAACCGTTGGCAGGAGAGGTGCAGCAGTCATAGGTCGTGTAACATTTGTTCAATGTTGAAGTAGGTCGTGCCCAAGAATTAGACAAGCGAAGAATTCCCAAGTATTAAGATCCCAAGAAGTTGCAGTGTCTGACAGGTTTTGTAGATGAATGGTTCAGAGAACCGGACATGTTGATAAATTAGACACATGTGCAACTCTTGGGTATCTTTATTGAGGAAACGTTTCGCCACACAGTGGCTTCATCAGTCCATACAAAGGAGAATCTTGAAGAACAGGAGGATAATGAGGTAATCAGTCCCTCAACCTTGAGTCGATGTGGTCAGTCCATCAATCTTGAATAGAATACGGCATACGTGCTGAGAAGGAGCTTATAAACCGTTGGCAGGAGAGGTGCAGCAGTCATAGGTTGTGTAACATTTGTTCAATGTTGAAGTAGGTCGTGCCCAAGAATTAGGCAAGCGAAGAAATTCCCAAGTATAAGATCCCAAGAAGTTGCAGTGTCTGACAGGTTTGTAGATGAATGGTTCAGAGAACCGACATGTTGATAAATTAGACACATGTGCAACTCTTGGGTATCTTTATTGAGGAAACGTTTCGCCACACAGTGGCTTCATCAGTCCATACAAAGGAGAATCAAGGTTGAGGGACTGATTACCTCATTCTCCTCCTGTTCTTCAAGATTCTCCTTTGTATGGACTGATGAAGCCACTGTGTGGCGAAACGTTTCCTCAATAAAGATACCCAAGAGTTGCACATGTGTCTAATTTATCAACATGTCGGTTCTCTGAACCATTCATCTACAATACTTCGTCTTACTAATTAAAAAAAAAGAAAATACCATAAAAATCATTTATGTAAATATAAAAACTTGAGTCAACTTATTCCATTCATGTTCTTGGAGGTATTTTGGAGATGAACATCACGAGCCACTTCTACTCATTCCTACCAAGGGTTCTCATATGTGGGTACACATTTTACTAAATATTTTAAGCTGGTCAGACTCCAGCACTTTGTGAGGTGCAAGGCACAGTGGGCGTCTAGAATTCCCATTCGCTGTTCCATCCTCCTCAAATCATCCATTGTTTTCCTTTAGAATTGCGTAACTGACTTCATTCCAAGAGGTGTTCTAAATAGGGTGTGCTGTATAGCCCTTGTGGCTTAGCGCTTCTTTTTGATTATAATAATAATAATAATCTAAATAGGGTGCTGCTTATTGGAGAGTAATTGTTGATGCACCTGGTAGCATGGATCTCACTGTATCGATCGTGGGATGAATTAAAGACGAATCTCATGGCCTGTTTCAGTATCGTTACCTGAGCAAGGTCTCCTTTACACTTGGCATTATCCCATCGTCCAGGAACCAGATATGTTGTTCACTGATCAATCTTAATGATTTCCCTAACCGCTATGCGGGAACGGAGTGAGAGGATATTCTTGCTAAACACTCCAATGGAATGATTTCATGCTCCACCAACATGATCATCGATTCCATACTGTATTCTGTTGAAACAAAAAGGAAACTAGGGAAATGTTCATGCACTGCCATTATGTTACGTCTCTTTTCAGTAGATGAAACGGGTTTCTGAAGTCTACACAAACCTCTGTCTCGCTACCTTGAGAGATCCCATAGCCAAGCTGCTTTCTTTGAAACATCAAGGTCGACTCATTGCGAATACTCGGACATCAGCTTGAGAAACGAGGCAGCGAAATGTGTTTCTCACAGCACTGTGACTAATTCCTCCAACTTTCTTTTTAAGGACACTAAGCGATGCACCAAAAGAAGGCATATTTTTTTCTGGTTGTCTTTTTCAAGTGTAGCCCTAATAGCACCACATGCGAACGACATAATTGGTTTGTAATCGTCTGAATCAAGTGGTTTCAGAGTGGGGACATTAGTGTTAGAACTGCTGGTGCTAGTGGTGTACTTGGTAGGATCCTTTTCTCTAAGTGCTTGAGCAATGTCATTAACCCTGGGAACAACTGTATTTTCTTTAGGGATTATCCTCATTGCATTAACAAATTTTCGCATGCCTTATTCGGCAAGAAAGGCTTTGCTATTTAAGCCAAAATCGCAAGTTTTACCTATTCGGCACGACACACACACACACACACACCACACACACACACACACACTTTATATTATATATATTATATATATATATATATATTTATATATATATATATATTTTATATATATATTAATATATATTTTCATTAACAGAACTGCGGCTGGCCAGGACTCGATCCTGCATTCCCATGCCCAGCCCTGTGAGAACGGGACATAATACGCATCACTCTATCCACTAGACCACAAATTCTCAAACACGAAGTGCTCAACAGCACTGAGTGTGTTTTCCCTGATATGAGAGCATACGTGATCGTGGAGCCTCAGAGACTAGTTTCAACGTTATTCTGTTTGGGGTACCAGCCTTCACAAGAATTCTATATATTAATGAAATCATGACCTGGAGTTTACCTGGAGAGAGTTTCGGGGGTCAACGCCCCCGCGGCCCGGTCTGTGACCAGGCCTCCTGGTGGATCAGCGCCTGATCAACCAGGCTGTTGCTGCTGGCTGCACGCAAACCAACGTACAAGCCACAGCCCGGCTGATCAGGAACTGACTTTAGGTGCTTGTCCAGTGCCAGCTTGAAGACTGCCAGGGGTCTGTTGGTAATCCCCCTTATGTGTGCTGGGAGGCAGTTGAACAGTCTCGGGCCCCTGACACTTATTGTATGGTCTCTTAACGTGCTAGTGACACCCCTGCTTTTCATTGGGGGGATGGTGCATCGTCTGCCAAGTCTTTTGCTTTCGTTTGTGATGATTTTTGTGTGCCAAGTTCGGTACTAGTCCCCCTAGGGTTTTCCAGGTGTATATAATCATGTATCTCTCCCTCCTGCATTCCAGGGAATACAGGTTTAGAAACCTCAAGCGCTCCCAGTAATTGAGGTGGTTTTTATCTCCGTTATGCGCGCCGTGAAAGTTCTCTGTACATTTTCTAGGTCGGCAATTTCACCTGCCTTGAAAGGTGCTGTTAGAGTGCAGCAATTTCCCCCTAGATAGAACAAGTGACCTGAAGAGTGTCATCATGGCTTGGCCTCCCTAGTTTTAAAGGTTCTCTTTACCCCTCCTGTCATTTTTCTAGCAGTGCGATTGATCAATTTTATGGCCCTTGAAGGTGAGATCCCCCGACATAACCTCCCAGGTCTTTGACGTTGGTGTTTTGCTCTTTTTTGGGGACCAGAATTTGTTTTGTCTCTGAAAAGATTTAATTTCCTCAGTTTACCTATCGGGTAATTTGAAATTTTCTCATCGTTGAACTTCATATTGTTTTCTGACCCCACTGAAAGATTTGGTTGATGTGCCGGAGCCTTGCAGTGTCTGCAATGGAAGACATGTCATGCAGATTCGGTGTCTCTGCAAAGGAAACACGGTGTGTGCCTGGACATCTTGTCTATGTCGGTATGAGGATGAGGAACAAGATGGGAGCTAGTACTGTGCCTTGTGGAACAGAGCACAGTACTAGCGGCTGGCCAGGGCTCGATCCTGCGTTCCCATGCCCAGTTCTGTAAGACGGGAATATTATGCATCCCTCTTTCCGTGGTCCAGTGGATAGTGATGCTACTGCCCTTTTTTCTCACAAGGCTGGGCATGGGAATGCAGGATCGATACTGGCCACCGCAATTCTGTTAATGATTCAAAATTTCCCTTGCTCGTGATTTCATTAATATAATATAATGGGTAAAACTTGCGATTTTGGCTTAAATCGAAATGCTTTTCTTGCCTAATAAGGCAAGCAAAAATTTGTGTATGCAATAAATTTCGCAGAAAATCATTCTGAACATAACGAGAAAAATATATTTCATTGTGATTGTTTATTATTAAATTATTGTAAATTTATCTAAAGTGTATTTAGATGGATTAACCTAAATTAAATTGCGCTTGTTATAATAAGGATAGGTAAGTTTTTTAAGGTTCTTTTGGTTGTAAAAAATAAAAACCAGCCTCTCTCTGCTTGCCGGCATGGAGAGAGGGAGCCAATTTGTGGTGCTCCATACATTCTGTGTGTAAACCAAGAACCAGCATGGTTTACATGGGCCAGTTTCGGCAGACATCATCGTGAGTATCCACTGGAGATTACAGAGTTGTGACAATCTTCTGCATCAGACCGTTGCTTCTGTATCAGTGAAAGTGCAGTGTACATGTTGGGATTTGGGGAGTAGCGGTGGTGAGGGGGTTTCCCGGCGTGGTGGTGGTGTGGAGGAGGTTTTGTTTACCTCTGTGTCCAGCCGGGGTCGGGGATTGGGGGAGGAAGTGGCCGCTCAGGATACAGTCATTGGATGGTGAACAGAAGAACACCTCGGATAACAGTGTGAGCATGGTGATTAGTGTGCCAAATGGCGAGGGTTTTCTCTAAATGGAACAATAAGTGTATAACAATTAGCAAAAGTTAGTGCATCTTGAGTGAACACACAGGGCCACTCCCTCCGCCCCCCATCCCTGATCCCCTCCCCTCATCCCAGCCTAGGCCCACTGACTTCCTGAAGAAGGGTGCTGCCGTTTAGTGTCCCACCAATTACAAGTTCTGCCGCTCGCTACTCCCCCACCCTCATCCCCCATGCATCCCTGCTGTACTTCACCCGTCACCCCACAGCTGGCGCCCTCCCACCCCCACGATATTAGCAATATCACAAGTAGTCGCGAGCTCACAGAAATCTTCACGACAGAGCCAAAGCCGTCGTTCACGAGGCATTTGCCGGGTGTGTTACAGAGAATGTGCACTCAATCCCTCAACTGACAACATCCGTGCACACAATGGATGTCTAGACTCCAGGAGAGTTCTAAATGAGAACAACCAACAGCCCCTCCCAGCAAACAGCGCTGACAGCACAGTGACTTCACCTCTACAGAGGACCTCAAATCTGCAAATTAACATCCACCAGGACTCTGACACACATCCCCAAAGCAGCTCGCCCTCAGGCTGCTAGCAAATTCACTGACCTTCTGAAGACAGACAATGATGCTCCTTCAAACAACAGATCCTGGCACAACCTGCTGCTTTTTTGGCAATGCCTGTTTTGGCTGTCCCACCAAGGAGGATAAGTCACTAGCAACACTGTTATTAGGACAATAAATGCATTCCCAAGGGATGACAACCTCGTCCGTCTCCCTCCAAGGGCGACAAACCCCCCGCCAGGCAAATGCTAACAACGACACCCGACCCTCAAAAATCAGAGCCCAAATTAGCAAAAAAGTAGAAGAGAGTAATACCATTGGAGCTCTGAGGCTTATAACCAGTGAGGATACCATCGCTCCCAAGGACGTCAGCACAGCCCAAGCTCTGAAGGACAAACATCCACCCAGGGCTCCCAGTATCAACATTGACCTCCCTGACATGCAGCGGGCGAAGAACATCAAAACTTTTACGGGATGCTGATGTGTATAAAGCTGCTATGCCCATTTCCACAGGGCTCAGCAGGAGGTTTCAACCGTTTAAGCCTCATCACTTAAAACAAATACTCAATCCAGCACTTGGTGATGTTTAAAGAAAGCTGCTGTCTAAACTCACCAAATTTTCCAACCTATGCCTGGCTGGCAGTGTCACAGAGACCATCAGACCCCTTTTCTTTGGTGGCTCATTGTGTGCCCTCCGAAAAAGGATGGAAGAATCAGACCCATTGCAGTGGGCAACACCCTTTGGCACCTCATTGCCAAGGCTGCAGTAAGAAGGGTGAGTCAAGAGGCTGCTGCAATGCTGAAACCAACTTCACAGGGCTGTGAAGCAGCTGCCCACGCAGACGAGTATATATCAAAAACATGTCCAATGAAAAAGCTTGGTCAAATTGGACTTTGCCAATGCTTTCAACTCATCAGAAGGGATGCTGCTCTCCAGGCAGTTTATAGAAATTTCCCCTTTCCCCTTTTAAATCCCTTCATAGAATCGTTTTATAGTGTGACTTCCAAACTATTTTTTTGGGAACCATGAATTGACTCATGTGAGGGCATGCAACAGGAGACCCTCTCGCCCCCTTTCTATTTTTTTTTGGGTTTCATCAAGGAAGTCACAGAAGCACTCTCCATGAGCTCAATATCGGGTTTCCCTGGACGACGGAAACCCTAGCTGGCACAACAGAATCTCTCCTAGAGGACATCATAAAATTAAAAACATGGGAGAAAGCCTGAACCTTTTTTTAAAACCCCCACCAAATGTGAAATAGTTTTCTACCAATCGACAAATGATTCAGAATATTAGCGCCGTTTATCCCAGGAGCACGAGCCATTGATCCAGCCAATTGACTCTCCTTGGTGCTCCTCTTGGTCCAATGCCATCGATCTGATCCTAGAAAAAATTTCTCAGACCTCCGGACGATGGAAAGCAGGATGAAAGACATTGACACACACGATGGCCTTCTACCTACTCACATGGTGCCTGTAATCCCAAAACTTACCTACTTTCTGAGATGCTCCCCAGCCTTTAGCAGTCCAAAGCTCAAGGAATATGACCTCTCCCCTTAAGACCATGCTAGAGGGTGTATTGAATCTTTCCCTTGAAGAGGACAGTGGGTGCAAGCCTCACTTCCGGTCAGCATGGGGGCTAAAGGGGTACGCAGATCCTCCCAATTGCTCTACCAGCTTTCCTATCCTCTTCCATAGCATCAAACGAGTTGATAAGAACAAATTCTTCCTGCTACCTCAGTGACTCAGCAGGGGAAAACAGGACCCCCGCTAAAGCCAGTGCCATCACTGAATAGGAACTCTTGCTGCTCCAGCACCAAACCCAAATGCAGCACTGGCTCACAAGCAATCAAACTGGGATGACCCAATCGCTGAAAAGGTGCTTGCCAATATGCTCAAAGCTGCACCCTCAGATAGGGGGACTGCCCATCTCCAGGCTGTGAGTGCACCTCACTTCTGGGGCTTCCTCCAAAAAAGTTCCCAATCGGCAATGGGAACGCGACTCGACCCTAAGACCCTCTGTATTGCAGTGGCTCTGCGCCTTGCTGCCCCCCGTTCACACAGAATTTAAAAGTGTATTTGCGGCGAAGTGCAAGCAGACCAATACAGTCTACATGGTCTTAACTGTTCCAAAGCCAAGGGCTGGCA